CCAGCCAGAGAAGTAACCCTGCTCCGTCAACGAGTCCCCAAGAAGAATGGCGGTGCGCATTGAATGCGTAAAGGGCGAATCGCCTCCTGTGGGCACTTGCGGCAACGCCGCCCGCGCGTGTTTCACTGCAGGGGGAGAGGAAATGGGGAGGGGGATGGGTAATGGGAAGAACGCAGCTGGAAGCGTGGCAAAACGGCGCCTTTACCGGGCGCGGTTGGCTAGTTGCACTCTGAAGCACGTATGTGGCGCAGCTCATTCGGTCATGTGCACCACCACCACCACCAGATACACATACACACACATAAATAACCCTTTGTCTCCTTAACCTCGTTGGATCTGTCAGAATGTTGTCGTCAGAACTGGCGCATGCGTCTTAGCAGCGTCCGTCACACGTACCTTACAGCGGCATGTGTGTGCCGCCTCCCGAGTCTCACCTGTTTTGGGGAGCAAGCAAGTTGGGCAAACGACGCCGTTAACGAACCACTCCCTCGGCAGCTTCATGTGCCGCAAGTACGCCCAGCGGGTCTCGCGGTGAATGTGGGCACCCTGCTGCGGCCGCACCACCATGCAGAGTTGTGCCAGGACGTCAAACCCCAACTCGTCGTACTCCGTTGTGCGGTTCATGAGGTCGACCCAGTCGAGGGCGAGCAGAACCCATGCGCGCCGCTCCAGCCCTGAGGTGGCCGTGAATTCCTCTCTGCTGCCGGCCGCATCGGTCGTGGTCGTCGCAGTCGAGGAGGCGATCGCGCAAACGCTTCGGATGAGCTCCGCCACGTCGCGGACGGAGCTGTGGACCGTGTCATCCTCCATCACTGGGACCCGCGAACGCACACAGCAACGCATGCCATTCGAGAGGTCGCAGCCGCGCCACGGAAGCTGCGGCTCGCGTGCGCGTTGGAATGCGAGGGTCGTGGAGCGAAGGAGCGACAACGCGTTGGGGCGGGAAACGAGGCCTTTCTCCACGCGGTGAAGCGCCTGCAGCGTGGCCTGGAGCGCCAGACGAAGCGCCACGTCATGCTCGGCGGCAGAAGCACCTGAGGAGTGGGACGAAGCGTAGCCGCAGTGAAAACACGCCGGACAGATCTGAGCCACATTCTGCAGCTGCAAGTAGGCACCGCAGGCGAAACACACGCGCGGGGCAGACGGCACGGGAAGCAGCAAGGCACTTGGAGCCGCCAGCGGGGGATCCTCGCCGCCGCCGCCGCCTTCCCGCACGGAGGCGCAGGGCTCGCGGAAGCGCAGGGGATTGGAGTTGTGGCGCCCGACAACGGCAAGGTCGTGTGCGACGCCGCAGTGGCCGCACACCAGCAACCCCTCGCCCGCCGCACGGTGCAGGTTGACGCCCAGGCAGTTCCCCCGCAGGCACACCCAAAGCAGAAAGGCGGCGCCGGGGCGGGGAGCAAAGCAGGTTTGACAGGCCACCTCGCCCTCCTCGAGGCGCGAGCGGCCACAGCTTCGGCACGAAGTGGGGCCGGCGTCCGCAGAAACTTCACCACCCGCAGGGTTGACCTCCAATTCCTCCCCCCGCTTATCCTCGTTTTCTCTGGCAGCGGCCAGCCTCGCTCCGCAGCCATGGCAAACGACGCCCCAGGCGGGATTGGTCGCCCTGCAGCTACTGCAAACAGGACTGAACCAGGGGGTATCGAAGCGTGACGTTGCCGCCGGCTTCGTTCCACCGCAGCCCTGGCAATGTGTGAGGAGCCACGGTGTGAGGGTGTGGCATTCCACGCACCGCCACAAGGTCTTTGGTGGCCCCGCAGCCGCAGCTGGGCTCAGTGTACCGCACGCCGGGCACCAGGGCCGCAGCAGCCCAAGCGGGTTGTGGCGGCTGCACACGTGGCAGTGGAACGACGTCTGCGTTAAGGCCTCCTCCAGCGCCGGCTGAACGGACCCGCACTTTGCGCAGTAAAACACGTGGTGTGGCTCATTTGTGTGATTGCATCGCCCACAGCGCCACTTTCGCAGGGGAAAAATGCTGCAGTCCTCCTTCACATGCGGCACTCCTTGCTCGCCCGCACGCTCGTGTGTTTCGGCGCCACACAGCAGGCAGTCGGGGGCGCTGGTGGGAGAAAATCCTCCACACGCGCGACAGCGCACCACTGCGAGCTCCAGGGAGCCACACAGCCGGCACGCGGAGGCGTTTTTCTTGTTCCAGTGACGACACAAATGACACTGCCACGGCAGTCGCTGCTCCTCCGCAAACCGGCGGCACTCCAGCGCAGTCCCCACGGCGGAGAGCATGCGCTGCCCCCCGCACTCTGTCTGCGCCACGTGTCGCGAGAGAGCCTCCAGCGCGGCGAGCGGCAGCTCCTGCAACGGCGTCAAACAAACGACGGCATCCGTGCAACTAGGGACGATGTGCTGCAGCACGGCGGTCACGGCGTCCCGGTGGCCGACGCGCAAAAAGTGCAGCAGCGCCACGCGGTACACGGGCAGCCCAGGGTGTGCCCGCTGCAGCGCGTGTAGCAGTTCTAGATGTGACGGCAGCGCGCCATCCCGGCACTCCGCCAGAAGCGCCACATATATTTCAACCGTCGCCAAAAGAAGTCCATCCCTAACGTACGCGGCAACCGCCAAATGGCGACGAAGCAGCGTGGCCATCAAGTCTAACCGCCGCCTCCCGTCTCCGGCCGTGTGGCCCGCTGGCGCCGCGCCGTCGCCACAGCATGCGCTGAGAATGGCGGCAAACGTCACGGCGGCGGGGACGGGAAAGTCCCAGGTCCGTGTGAGTTCGTACAGGTGAAGCAGCCGCCCGGGCACGCCGCCGGGGTCGCTCAGGCAACCTCTTGCAGCCCCCTCCACCGCCTCAAGCATCATGGCACGAATGTGCCGCGGAATTCCAGAGGCAAAGTGTTGTCGCGTGCTATTTAAAAAGTCTGTGAAGACGGACACCGCCTCCATGTGCCTACCGAGCATCACAAGGGCCTTGCCACCCTCCCATGTGCCGCCAAGTGCAGGGCAACGCGCGAGGGTCTGACGAATGGTCTCGTACGCGCCACGGCGCAGCAGCAACTTGAAGGAGAGCCGAATGCCCTCACGCAGGCGTCGCTGCACGCCCGCCCGCGCGCCGCGATGTAGTCCCATGGCGTCGCGGTCGAAGCCCGCCTCTGGCTCGTTCTGCGCAAGGGCCTCGAGGTGGGAGAGGCAACGGGACTGGATCGTCGTTACTCCCCTCACGACTGCCTCGTCCACGTCGACGGCTGTCTCGCCCACGTGCCCAAGCGTCAAAAGCGCGTAGGCGTCCAGCAGCAGTGCCTCTCGGAACACGAGGGGGGCGTAGCGTGCCTGCGCGGCGGAGGGGTCGGTTTGTGAACATCCTCGCCAGGGCGCCGTGAGGGCGAGGTGCAGCTCCAGCACCGGACGCACGCGGCCGTGGCGGCGAAAGGAGCACAGCACACGTCGCAGGGAAAGAAGCGCCCCCGCCTGCCGCCGCTCCGGCGCCGTCGGGTCGCGCAGCACGGCATGCGCGTGGTGAACCATTTCGTAGAGAAGCAGGCGCCAAAAGGGGAGGAAGACACTGTCCTGCGGCGTCGCCGCAGAGGCGTCCTCCGCCTGCACCGCCGAAGCCATTCGAGCCTCGTCGTCGCCGGTGGCGCTGCTGCCCGACGCGCTCAGCATCACACACGCGGGCGCCGCACAGGCCGCCGCGGTTGCGGCCTCGAGCAACTTCTGCTCAGGCCAAGGGGTCGGGGCAGCGCGTCGCGCGAGCAACCACAAGACGCCGCCGTGGAGTTTCCGCGCCTGCAGCTCCCGCAGCCCTGCATGGAGTGTGCGTCCCCCATCGCCCCGCGACGCCAGGCGCCGCGCCAGCGGCAGCAGCAGCGAGAGACTCACCACATCGTCGGGGTGCACGGAGTCCCCGACCAACGTCGCGGCACAGTCCCACGCCTCCCGCAGCGTCCAGCGCCACTGTTTCTCGTCCACAATGGCGCCTAGTATGCGCAGCGCGAACTCCCTCTGGACGCCCCGCACAAGTCCGACGGCCTCCTCCTGAGCGGCGGCGTCCTCGCCGCGCAGGCACGGCGGGGTTTGAAGGGTGCGGTGCAGCAACGCCGTCAGGTCCCGCGCGGTGAGTCCGTGCGCCGCAACGGCGTCGAAGACGATGCCCTCAAGCCACAGCCGCCGCAGCAGCGAGGAGCGGTAAAGCCACAGGGCCAGCGAGGGCGCCGCGTCGGCGGTCGCCGGGCCCCCCGCCTCCTCGAGGCCTCGCAGCTGCGCCAGCATCGATGCCGCCCCGTGGCGGCCGCCGCTACGATACTCCAACGGAGGCAGAAGACACGTGTGCCCCGCCACCGCGGCCCGCACATACGGTGCCCTCAACATTCATGCTACCCCTCCTGTTGGCTGCGCCACGGGGCCACGCGCAAACCAAACCCAACATAAAGAAAAAAAGGCATGGAGAAACAGCCGAGGAGGAGGAAGGAGACAGCAATAAAAAAGAGAGAGAGAGAGAGGAAGACAAAAGCCACATGCACCACAACGCTGCGCCCGCACGGCCGCACTACGACGCCGGCGCAACGAACCCAAAACCGTGAGGGGCGGAGGGAGGGGAAATACGCACGCGTTGCATCACGCACGGCCGCCCTGATCCTTGAAGGCGGCCGCGTGGAACGCCTCCACCACGTCCTGCACTCGCACCGCCCGGTTGTTCGTCACCCGGAGCCGCTCAATCGGCTCAAAGTACGGCACAAGCACCTCCTGCCGCAGCAAACGCAGGGTCCGCTGAAGCATCTCCACCCGCGTCTCAGACGTCGGTGGCGCCGACGCCGACGCCTCAGCAGCCGTCGAGGACAGCGGGGCGGGTGCTGCGCTGGTCGGCGAACGCATCGCGCTTCTCACTAGAGGGCGCCTCGTCACCCCACGTTGACGTACACACACACACACACAAAAGCAAAATATTTAAAAAAGCAAAGAGGGAAAGGGAAGAAAAAGTGGACGCGCCATATGCAAGCAGCACCACTCTGCAGAAGGAGGCGAATGGAGCAGAGGTAGAAAAGGCGACAAGGATGAAACAAACAAAGCAACAACAACAACAACACGGGCCAGCTCTTGTTGGGGCCGCAGACTACCTGGACTACGCAGGCGTCAAGAGCTGCTTTAGTATGGCACCCAACCGCCAGTCACCATTCAAGGCGTTTGCCGCAACATCGTGCCGCCCCATCGCCTTCGCGAGCGCCGCCACGTCCTCCAGCAGGAGCTCCATCGCCGCACTCATTAGCGAGCGATCAGCGGCGCGTGCGCAGTAGAGTGGAAGTTTCACATCGCTCAAGCCGGTACAGGGAGAGACAACGGCGGCGGCTGCGAGGCCTGGTTTCGCCATCACGCAGCCGCGTCCACCGCACAAGAGCAGCGGGTGAGGAAGCGCGCAGGCGTAAATTGTGGCGGCCGTGGTGACGAGGTGGGCGGTGGCGCCCAGGGCCAGGCCCCACTCGTGCATCACGTCACTTGCCACGCCCATCCCTCTCCCCCGATCAGGCAAGCAGTGCCCGCAGATGGTGTCTGCCGCCCCGGCCGCCCCCTTGTGAATAGGGAACATCGCCCGCAGCTCTTCCAGCCGCTCCCGTCGGACGCCGTCGAGCTGCACGCGCAGCGTGGCAAGGGAAAGCTCCTGCTCAGGCAGCCGCCTCGTCATCTCTTCTTGATGAGCCGCCTCGAGGGATATGCTTGACTGCAGCTCCTCCAACTGCTCCAGCTGCAGCGTCATTGCCGCTTGCTCCTCCTGGTATCGACCGCGTAACTCGTGCAATTCCCCGGCGAGGCACTCCAAGTCCTCGCGGGCTTCAGCGAGACGGGCCTCCAACATTGCACGCTGCGCCACTGCGGCGGCCTCCCCGTGACGCGACTTCATCATCGCATCGATGCAGTCCTGTTGCTCGCCACGACGTCCCGCCGCCAACTCGCTAAGGTACGTCCACGCCAACGTGGCTGTCGCACACGTCTTAAGGTCGCCCAGTGTGATTTTGTCCAGCGGGAAATGGATGTTTTTCCCCCGGGGCCGCGCCGCGTCCGCGTCTGGCACGCGTCGCGAGCGGTCGCCGTCCTCGCGGCGGTACGGTGTCTGGATGGGGTCCGCCGCCGCCCCTCCCTCGTCCAGCCGCACGCCCTGGTGCCGCGGAAAGAAGACGCCGTCCGTGCAGCGAAGCAGCACGACGAAGGAGTTCGGCCCGCTTTCGACGTGGTAAGGCAGACTTGGCGAGGCGTCCGCCTTCGTCATGGAGGCGGCCACGTACTCCACGTGGGAGGTCTGGATCAACATCTCGTAGAACAAAAAGTCAGTCTCCGGCGAGGCCGCCGCCGCCTCCGGGTGGGTCGTGCAACAGTAGAGGGAAAAGACAAAGCGGGTGATTCCCCCAAACCGCTCGATAGTGGTCTCCGGGATGCGATCCCACACCGGGTTTTGCGTGTCGTGCCGCACCTCGCTCGTGTAGATGGGGCGGTCGCCCGCCGGGGCCTGCGCGCCGCCGGCTTTGCCCGGCGGGAGACTCAGGACAAAATACGACGAGACACAACGCGGTCGCAGTGCCGCACGCCGGCCGCGGCGCGCCGCGGCGCACATCGTTGGGGTGTCCGTTGTCGGGGCCTCGACTCCGCCGTCATCCACCTCCTCCAGCGTCGCCGCCACCGCAGGCAGTGGAACGTTGCGGGCGTAGATTTGCGTGATGTGGCGGAAGCAGCGGAACTCCGCCGGTAGCACAGAAACTGGCATTTTTTGTTTTCGTGTTCCAGCACCGGGACCCCAGGCAATTTCAACCGCAACAACAACAAGGAACGCACGAGGAAGAACAATAACAACAAGAATGACCCGCTTTTCCTGCGCGTGCCCTTCTGTTCAATGTCGGTAGGTGGACGACGTACGCCGCTTTTGCCCCGGAGGCACACACACAAAAAAAAACGGGGTGGGGGAGAGAAAGCGGGGAGGCGCTGCAGTAATGCGCACGTGGGAACAACACAGAGAGGGGTATAGCGGAAGCGTCGCAGGGAAGACGAGAGACGGAGAGAAGGATATAAGTGGGAAAGTTACAGAACCCACAAAGCAAGAAGCACAAAAGCGCGCAGAAAAAGCCTCTCTCAACTGTGCCTTCGCGAACCCCCTGTGTGAATCCAGTCCTCTGCTGCGGGGGACCATCTTTCTTGCATGTGCCTTAAACGAGGGACGATGCCGATTCTTCTTTCTTGTTTTTTTTTGTTTGCTTGGTCTTCGCGAATATATATGTATACCTCCTTTTTTCTGGCCTCTTTGTTTTCTTCCTTTTTCCCTTCTTGTTTGTTTGTTTGTTTTCTGTTTCTTCATTTCGGTCCGAATCGTTTCTTTACTCGCCACTGCCGGCCGCGGCGGCAGTCGCCCTCGCCGCCCGCGTAAACCCCTCGCAGATGCGGGCGCACATCACGTGCGCCGTTGTTGGGTAGGCGCTCAGGCACGCCTGCTGCGTCACGTAGTCGACGCCGTCGAGGTCGGCCTCGTCCGTGCAGGAGATGCAGAAGAACCCCGCAACGTTCTTCACGCCGCCCTGCAGAGTGTCGTCCACCGGGGCCGCAAGCGACTCGCGGGCCAACTGCGTCGCGGTGCGCACCGGCGCGGCGGCGGCGTTTGTCAGCCCAATGACCGGCGCCCCGTACGGCACGACCGGCGCGACGGAGCCCGGGAGCACCCGCATCAGCACCGCCCCGTCCGCCGCCCGCACCTCGCCGTCGCGGAGCAGCGCGGCGACGAGGCCCTTGAAGCGGCGAAAGGTGCGCGGCGGGCGCAGGGCGGGGGAGACCTCGACGGTGCGCCCGCTGCGCGCGAAGAGGCTGATGTACACCCGCAGCCGCCGCTGCGCGCCGAGCTCCGAGTCGAAGAGGGCGAGGAGGCACTGGTGCACAATGTCGGGGCGCACGTCCCGCAGCGAGGCGTTCGCGATCTCGGTGGTGGCCGCCCGGTCGTACGCGTCGACGACGCCCTCGCGCCCCAGCAGAAGGCCCGCCTTCTCCAAAATGACCACAACGGCGCGCTCCGAGGACGCCGCCGCCGCCGGCTCGGCGTGGCGCAGCGGGCGGTAGACGTCGCTCCTCGCCTCCGGCCTGCCGCCTGCGCTTCTAGGCCGCTTCGCAGGGCGTCGCGCCGGCCGTGCTGGATCCGGCCGTGGCATCTCACCCAGAAACACGCTGCGGAGCAAGGGAAAAAAAAACAGACAGACAGTGAGAAAGAAAGAAAGAAAGGGAATCAAAGCACAGTAAGGAGAGCGAATAAGCGAAAAGGAAGGAAGGGATAAACCTCCCCGCCTCGGCAAAAGCAGAAAAGTCAGGCAATGAGGCAGCATTGACATCCACAGCCACTTCGTCATGCATACTGCGTTTTCTCTTGCATGGTACTCTCTCACTCTGTGTATGTGAGAGAAAGAGAGAGAACGGAAGAGGGGGGAGGGAGCGCATGCGTGTAAGCCCTTCTGTCTGCGTATTTCGCCCTCACACACGTGCCCGCCCTTCCCCAAACCCACAACATCCCACATCTTCCCTTTTCCTCCTCTCTCTTTCGTTTTCCTCTCACCCCTCCCACTCCGCCCTTCACTCTGTCCCATTCTTCTAATCCACGTGGATTATCTCTGGACTCAACCCTGCCGCCTGCGTTGCTCCCGCCGTCAGTTCAGCCGAGGAGCAGACCACGTCCCCATTGCTGCTGGGACTGTGGCGTGTCATGTTCGCCGCGGCGCACACAAGCTGCTCCAGCCGCAACAGCGCCTCCTCCTCGGACGGCTGCAGGGCACACCCCGCCCGCAGCCACTGCAACACCGACCGCATCGTCTCCTCGCCGCGCTGCAGCGAGGCCATAAACTGGCCCCCGTGGCCGCCCGCCCCACTTTGTGAGGAGCTGGGAGAGGCGTGCGGCGCAGCGTCAATAAAAGCGCCTACAGACTGACTGCTCGCTGCTGTCGGAACGCAGTGCGACAGGCAACGCTGCCACTCCGCCACGCGTTGGGCCAAGAGACCTTCACACTCACGCAGGCCGGCGTCGGCGTCGGCGGCGGCGGCGGCGGCGGCGGCGGCGGCGGCAGCTCCCTGCAGCAGTGTGCGCAGCGCGGCCGTGACTGCCTCAGAGAGCCGCAGTGTGCCCAGCGGCACCACCGTATTGCGCTGTGCGAAGTTGCGCAGAGACACAGCGGCGTGGTACCGCAGCATCCCATCCGTCTGCGTCTCCTTACCGTCCTCGGTCAGGGCGAAGCTGATGTCCACAAGGCGGCGCACGCAGGCCAAAAAGGTCGGGTCTTCAGAGAGCACAGACCCCGTCACCGCAACGAGCTCCGCCGCCGCAAAGCGTGTGCAGACGCAGATGGCAGGAGGGGTGTTCGCATCCTCCGCGACGCGTTGAAGGACTCGCGTGGCGCTCAGTAGGGCGGCCGTGATGCTGTGCGGCGAGGTCGCCCGCTCGAGCATGTCATGCAGCTTCCCAGGGGCAGAGGCAAGTGCAACGCACAGCCGCGCTGCCGCGTCGTCGTTGGTCCGCAAAGGCGCGTGACGCTGCCACTCCGCGAGCGCAGCCTGGAGCTCGTCTTGAAGCCGTTTTGCCGCCTCCTCCGTGCCGTCCGGCGCCTCCGCGTCTGCGGCCACCTGCTCGCCCCACCACTGGTAGACGCGCGAGTGTTGGTACAGCGCCTCCACCAGGGCACAAAATGAAACGGAGGTTGACGCGAGGAGGGGCACCGCCGAAGTTTCCGCAGACGCCGCGAGAAGCAACCTTGGTGGACGCTGCCGCCGCCTGCAGAGCTCCGCCAGCAGCGCGGCCAGGGCGTTCAGCAGGCGTCGCAAGCAGGCCGCCCTGTCGCGCGCGTCTGCCGGAAGCCCCTGCAGGGCGCGGTGCTGCTCCTCGCCAAGCAGCAGCAACTCCACCGCAAGCCCCTCCCGATCGGCGTTGGACAGCCGGTTGAGCACCGCCTCCCACAGCAGCAGGACGCAGGCGGCGCTGGCGTCGTTCGGGACCAGCAGTGCCGACATTAGCAAACCAAACACACGGCAGCGCAGCAGCGAGCCACCGCCTGGAGACCCCTCCTGCCCGCACCACGCCGCCCCGCGTACGGCATCCACGGCCCGGCACGCCAGGCTTCGCAGGAGCAGGAGCAGCTGCGCGGTGAGGTTCACCTCGCCTGCGGACGCGGCGGTCTCCGCGCCGTCGTGCTCCACAAAGAACAGAGCGCGCGGAAGGTTCCGTGCGTGTCGCACGACACAGTGGCCCAGAGCTGCGGCAGTATCCTCCGCAGGCAGCACCGCCGTTGCCATCAGCGGTGTTGCGGCGGCCTCTGCCGCCTCCCCCTGGGTTGCCGCCTCGGCGAGCACAAGCGACATATCCGGCAGCCACAGGAGGGCAGCGGCCAGGAGTCGCTCCACATAGGCCCCGTCGCAGAGCTGGAAGGAGCGGGTCGCGGCCAACATTGCAGCCAATGCCGCCACAGAGGAGCCAGCAGCGACTGCCGCCGGCGGCAACTCCTCCGCCGCAGCCGGCGGTGGGTCGGCCAGGCACTGCAGGAGCAATCTCGCATGCACCTCCGCGGCGAGCGGGGAGGCCGAGGTGCAGGAGGACCCCATCGCCTCTAAAATGGCCAGCAGGCGGACAACGATGCTCTGGTGCAGCTGCCGCGCCGCCTCAGCGTTTTCACTCGTTGCAACTGTCAGGCAAACAACCGCGTGAAGTCCCACAACCGTCTCAACCAGACCCTCGTCCCGGGTGGCGAAGTAAGGATGCGCCCGCACCGCCGAAACCACGTGCGAGGCCACAAAAGAAGCTACTTTTATCTTTTTCCCATCCAACCAGTCGTGGGAAAAGACGCGCTGTTGCAGCTGGGAGAGCATGAAGTGCAGGACCCTGCCGTACACCGGGGCGCTAATGGTCGTGAGTGAGGAAACAGAAAGCAGCAGCTTCCACGCCGCGTTCATCAACGCAAGCTTGTGCCCTAGCTCAATCGAACCACAGAGACGCAGCAGCTCCGGAAGAGCATGTGCCTCGTCCAACAAGACGGCATCCGCCTTTACCTCCTGCAGCGCCGAGACCTGCCCCGATCTCGCCGCGGCCTGGAGCGCTTCTAGCGCAGTACTACTCGTCTTTGTCGCTGGCCCTTGTGACTGCGACATCACTACTTGGACGCCCCCTGTCTGCGGGGAACCCTCCTCCTTCTTCTCGTGTAGCTACCGCCCACCCCCCACGCTGAGACCTTCACGCGCTGGCGGCACGTTCCCACTCACCCACCCACCCACCCCACACACGCACGTACGCACGCGCACAAGACCCTGTGCCAGATTACAAAAAAAAAAAAACAAGGAGAAGCAGCCAGAACACGACAAAGGCATGAGTCGCACGTAGCCACGCAGGGAAACAACAGCCACAATGGCCGCCGTGTGTTTTTTCCCCGTACCCTGCCGGAGGCGTTGGATCGAGACAAAAGTGCATGGGCATCGAGGTTGGAGCTTGCTCCCCCCGCATACCGTTGCAGTTGCCTTCCTCCAAAGAAGACGTCTACGCGTGTCGCTTCTTGCCAGCTCTCAGTTCTTTACTTGCACGGGCATTAGACATTGGTTGTGTTTTGTTGTGTTTTTGTTATTTTTTTCGTCGTTATTGTCTTTGAACTCTTCCACTCCGAAGCGGAATAAAAAAACAAACAAACAAACATAAAAAAAACTCTATGAGTAAGTGCATGCACTGTACATGCACCTGTGCTGAAAGTGTGTGTCTGTGTGCCTCTATCGATGTTGAAGTTGAAGCGTCATGGGCGGGGCAGGCGGTATGCGCACTGGTGTCGCCTTAAGAGCCCTTTCAAGGCCTGTGGAGTCTACAGACCTCACGCTTGTGTGCATCTCCGGTGAGCCACCGTCATCCTTGCTGCTCGAAAGACTCGGGACGGGGGCCTTGACGCTTCCGCCGTCGGTTGCCTCTCCCGCCCCAACCTCTTGGGTAAAAACCTCCCTTGCGACAGGTGCCGCCTCGAAGTGTTCGACCCACTGCAGCAGGTACTGCACCTGAGCACTCAGCCGCACATTGCGCTCCTCTAGTCTCGAGAGTGTCTCACTGTGCTCCAGTTGCAGCGCCTGCAAAGCAACCTCCAGCTCCTCGCAACGTGCTTCTGCTCGCACAGCTCGTTGTTGCACGTCTTGCAGTGTGTTCTCCAGCAATCCCAGGCGAGGCTGCAGAGCCGCTTCCTCTTTTCTAGGGCTTGCCCCTCGTGCCCCGCCGGACACCGTCCGTGGTGACACCACCTCCCCCATAGGAGCCGCCGCTCTCGCCGAACGCGGCAGTTGACGGGAGGACCGGGGTTGAGTCGCAGCGGCACCCTTCGGATGCTCCGTCTCCTTCGCCGCCGTCAGCCTCTCCTTCGAAGTGTGTGTCCGCTTCATGCCCTCCATCCACGGCCGACTACGATTCTCGACGCTTGCGCCGCGGGTCAGCCGTCGCGGCTCCGTTCGTGGAGCACTCACCGTCGGTTTCACGCGGGGCGTTGGACGGTTTTGGTTCCACGCAGGACGCGCCGGTGATTCGCCCCTCGGCGTCCTTCTCATGGGACTTGACCGTGCCGTATGTGCCCGATCCGGCGACGCACTGCGCCGCTGCTCCGTCTCGCATGTTCTTCGCTGCAGTGATGGCCTTGTCTGGCGGGGTGGAGGCGAATTGCCCGCCAGTTCCTCCACTGCGGCGGCCGCGGCGGTGCTAGTCTCGCGGATGCCGCGCAAAAGCTCTTCAATCTGCACGCTCCTTGCGGGGCTTTCCAACTCCCCCAGCGGATCGGCATGGCGATGGCGTTGTTGCTCCATCCCCGCCTGCCTTGAGCGGTAGTAGTCGCTCAGGGTGCTCCCCTGCATCTGCCGCTCGTGCAGCCTGCTGCGCCGCAGGCAGGCCCCAGTGAACGGCGACGACGCGGTCGAGGGCTCCAGCGTCGGCACCCGGACAACGGGGGGCTGGGCGACACGCGGGGCCACACCTTGCGCAAGCATCGGACCCCCCGTTCGCAATGGAATAGGCCCCTATATTCTCCCTGCTCTTGCTGTTGTGGTTGTTTTTACCGCCTATTTTCTTGTTTTTCTTTCGTTTTTGCTTCCTCTCGCTCTCTATCTGTGCGTGTGCTCTACTCCTGCCGCTGCTCCACAGCCGCCGCGCACCCCTCCACCCTCTGCTGTTGTCGTCTGACCCGGGCCGCGGCGGCAGAAAAAAAATGCAGGGAAAACAAAAGGGCAGGACGAAGCTTCAACCACGAAAGAGTCAACAAACACCCCCACGGCCAGCACGACACACGCGACGGGCGGGCCAGCGGGGAAGTTTTTCCGCACCCATCCGTGCCAGGTCCCCAAAGCTGGCGCCAGAAACAGAGAAGGCAAAAGGGGAAACGAAAGGCGAAAAGGATGTTTCCATCCCTCAGTCTTGTAGTACGCGCGCGTGCGGGTGTGTGTCGATAAAAGAGGAGAAGAAGAAGGCGCAAAAAAGGAGAAAGAAATGGAACGAGATGGGGGACGGTGCGGTTCTGGCGGCGGGCCTGCCGCCTCGCTTCACTCGGCTGCTCAAACTACAAAGAAGAACAAAAATGACCGGCGCCAACCACCCCCCCTCCCCGCTACAGCAGGGGACCCGTTACGATACAAAGAGTAAAGCTAGAGGTAACAGGGAGGACCACCAGCCAAAGCCGCCACGCATGGGAGGAGTCATGCCACCCGCACTGAAAACAAATCGATAGGAAATGCCGCGTGTGCAACTCGCAGGGGGGGTATACAGTTCATATTTCATGTTTAGCATGTGTGTTTTTTTTCTCTACTATCTACTCTATGCTCTCTTTTTTATTCGTCTTCCTCAGTCCCGTCGCGCCGTCTCCCCGCTACCGAGCCGTGCTGCTTCCCGCAGGCGGGATAAAGCAGAAAAAAGTTTCCACCGCGATGCCTGAGCAGCCCCACCTCCTCACCCTCCCCACTCACAGACGCCTGCTGCTGTGGTCTCTCCCGAGGGAATTTCGTTTTTTTTTTTTATTCTTTTTGCTTTGAATTGTATTTCGTCGCAACTTCTCCCGTCCTGACGCTGCTGCGCGGCACTCGCTCGCTCGCTCGGCGGCGGCGACTGGTCGCCGGTCCCCCACGCGTGGCCTTCATTCGCGTTGCGGGCTAAGCGGCGGGGGCGCCGAACTTGTGCGAGCGGAGGTACGACACGACGTTGCTCAGAGCCTCGTACCACGTGTCTGCCTTTATGCGCCGCTCGGTGGCCAGCTGCAGGACGCGCTTGGTCGTTTCCACAAGAAGAACGTGGTAGGTCCGCGGGACGCCGTCGTCGCCCGGCTGCTGCAGCTCGCGGGAACCCACCTGAAGAATCTTCTCAAGCTTGATTGTCCCGGCAAAGGCGGTCTCGTGGGTTTCCTTGTGCGCCCACAGCAGGAGTTGGCTCTGCGTGTCCAGCCACACCCAGCGTGGAGAGACGGTGGCGCCGCTGCCGCTCCACTTGTAGAACCAATCACCAGCCGCCAAGATAGACACACTGGTGCGAATGTCTATCGTAGTTCGCGTGCTGGGCAACCCAACCACGTCGTTGTTTGCCCCAGAAATGCCGTTGCGATCCACGCCAGAGACTGGGGCCGTCTGCGGAAGCGGCGGGCCCGGTGTTCGTCGGTGCTGCTGCAAAGAGGCAAACGGGTTCCATTCCCCTTTTGTATCGGTTTCTGTGTATATCACCGAGCCGGCCGCTTGCGAGTTGCGCTCCGCGGGGAACCCATGAATAACTTCGGCCGCGCCGTTGGGCCTCGAGCGCTGAGCCGGCACTTGCTGCACCCCCCGTGGGCTATCCACACAGTGGCGCAGTGAGCCGTCGTAGCGCCCGCAGCTGCGGCTCGCTCCATGTCGGCCCCTGCTGTAGCTGCGCCTACCCTCGCCGACGCCACCAGGACGGTACCCGGGCGGGGGCCGCTGAAAGCGCGGTGTCCCGCTCTGCCACGACGCGGGCGCGCGGGGCGAGACGGTCCGCCCCCTACGTGAGTCACCGCCGCGCCAGCGCGAGGCGGCGACATCGGGCACGCCGTACGTCAGCAGGGGCACGGTTCGACGCGGCGACCTGGCGGAGTAGCAGCCGGCGCCGCTCCCCAAGAAGGAACTGGCGTCGTCGCGGAAGGCAGAGGAAGTCTGCGAGGGGCGCCAGGCACGCTGCGAGGAGCTTCCATCGCCCCAGCGACGGCGGTCTCTCCCAAAGCTTCCGCCGTCACGGGCACCAAAGCGTGGCGAGTGGTTTTGGTTGTACAGCCCGGCGCCACGCCCAGCAGCAGCAGCCGCCGCCGCCGCGCTGTCGCCCATGTTGGGTCGTTCGTGCCTGAAGTGCTCCGCCTCCCCGCCGTCTGCTCGGCTGCTGCTGCCGGGCCCCGTCCCAGCCGCGGCTCGGGTCGCCCGCGGGACACTGTCGCGCGGCACCGCTTCGTCCGCCGCACTGTAGGCGAGCGCGGCGCGTGGGTTGGGGCTCAAGTCCGACTTCAGCAGCGTTGGCGCCGCCGCGTCCCCCGCGGCCTCCCACTGCCCGGTCTGCGTCGCGGTGGAGGGGCCGCGCCGGTTGCCGTAGCTGGCGGCCACCCCGCGCCGACGGCGGTTCTCTAAAATCCGCTCCAAATGCGCCTCATGCAGCGAATCCATAGCTCGGCTTCCCTGCTGTGGAGGAGGAGGATAAAAAAAATAACAATAATCATAACGAAAGCAATAGTCAACAAACGACTACTGAACATTGTGATGGGAGGCGGCGGGTTGAGCAAAGCGTGAAGACACCGTCCACGCACCTCTCACGCGTGTGCGTCTCATTTGCAACGGCGTTGCGTTACTGCAGGAAGCGAGGAGAAAAAAGAGCGAGGCAGGGGGCAAGTAGAACTACAATGAAGAAGGAAGGTGGAAACGGGAAAACGGGGCAACTCACTTCTTCTGAGCGAAGGAGGGCGCCGCCGCGATTCCGTGAAAGAGGTCCCATTCCTCCTCCGATTCCTGCATCTGCTCCTGCTCGGCCTTGGTGTCTCTGGTGGAGTCTTTGGCGTGGAAGAGGGTCACGCGATCCCCGCGCTGGATCCCCGTGTTTGTGCCTGGAATTGTCCAGTACGCCTCAAAGTTGTCCCCCGCGCACGCCGCGCGAAACGCCGCGGGAACCTGAAACGCTTCGACGAGGTTGACGCACTGGGGCGCCAGCACGGTGACGAGGTTGTCCAGGTGGGACTCCAGCACGTTCGCCTTCCCGGGGCTCAGCATCTGCTGCGTCAGGACGTAGTCCAGCCGGTCCCGCTGGCGCGCCAGGGCGTAGATCCACCCGATGTCGCGCAGAATCTTTCGCGCCCGCGGGTCGGTGCACGCCTGCGTCTCTTCCATCATCACCTCCATGGAGTACATTTCCATGTACGCCTCGCCGCAGTGCAGCACCTGCTGATGGCGAAACATCACCCAGTCGTACCACTGGTGCTCCGCACCCCCTTTTCGACGCTCAATCTCCCGCGACAGCCGCAGTCGCTTCTTGGCCCGGTAGTGTTTGTGGCTAAAGAAAATCAAGTGTCTGCCCAAGTCGGCGATTCGCGGAGAGTAAAACGGATTCTTGACAAATCTGTCGGCCGCGGCGAAGGGCTGCAGCAGGCTGGTAAGCCACCAACCCCAGTGGCTGGTGCCTATGTTCCGTGTGACGGACTTGAAGGCCACCTCGCGAATCAAGGCGGACTGATCCACGCCTTCCTGCCGCAGGTGCACCATCAGCGCCGCCTCGCTGCTGCCCGTGCTCTCCAGCGAGGCGTGGACGCCCATGAAGGCATCCACGAACCGGCGCAGATCGAGCAGGGTCTCCTGCAGGAAGTGGATCGTCCCCGCCAGCTTCATCTCGTCCTCGTAGTCTGGGCGCCGCCCAGCTGGTGCCGCGAAGACCGCAAGCATGCGACGCCAGTCTGCCAGGTACACGTAGGACTTTGCGACGACCTCCACAAGCGGGGTTTGCACGTGCTGTACACCAAAAAAAGGGTAATTTCGTCGCCCGTCGGGTCCCACCACATCCTTTCGGGCAATGAACGGAACGATGTTCGCCAATAACCGCTTCAGCATGCCGGCGTAGAGTGCGGCGGTTGCCAGGCGCATTTGCAGCGTCAGCGCCTGCAGCGAGGTCGGGGTATCCGCGTCCTCCGTCACAGAGACCTCCCCGCCCACGATCCGTGAGGGGAGTAGCAGGGCGGAAAGGGGGAGGCGAACGTCGGCAAAGTGGAGGACGCCCGCGCCGCTGGCGCTCATCGCCGGATGCTCCCCTTGCATGGGCCGCACGCTCACGCCCCGCTTCAGCGCACCGCGTTCCCGCAGCTGCACCACGAAGGCGTGGAGGCCGTGGTTGTCCCGCTTGTTCAGCGTCAGTGTCGCCGTCACAATCGCCCAATCGGCGCACCCCGCCCCCACCACGGCAAACTTCCCCGCCCCTCGCAGCACAAAGCAGTTCTCGTCCTTGTCGTAGCGCGCCTCTGTGTTCAGCGGGGCACCGTCCGCGATGAGCTCCCGGTGCGCAATCGTCCCGATCACACGGCAGGTGTCCACATCATCTAAAATCGCTTTCTGCGCCTCGGCCGTCCCGTGCGTCGCAATCATCGCCGCAAATGTGAAGTGATCGGCAGCAAGCAACGCCAACGGAGCGCTGCATGTGGCCAGCACCTCAAAAAAGGCCGGAAACAACTGGGGAGTGGACTTTACCTGTGCAAATGAGAGCAACTGCTTTTTGGCCACTGCCCGCAGGAGTTGCGCTGTGCGTTGGGGCAAAGTCTCCTGCAGCCACACCTCATCAGTCTTGTCAACAAAATTGGACGGCTTCTTTGCAATCACCTCAAGCAGGGTCGCCCGAACCTCTGCCCTGTAGTCGATATCCCTGCCCTCACAGATAAAACGGAATGTCGGCTCCTCAAACGCGTGCTCCATGCTATACAGCTGCCTCGCCGGATTCAACTCCAGCTGCAGCGGGAACGAACGGTGAAACAGGCGGTATTGCACGCGAATGGGAGTGGCCAACATGCCAGAGGTGGCAAAAAGAGTGGCGACTGCGGTCTGTGGAGGGAGGTGTGCGGCTGCCGCGGCGGACACCCGTGAAACACCACGGAGGAGCATTCCGGCAGCCACCCAATCTGGGCCCACAATGTGTGCTGTATCCCTGCCCCCGTTGCCAACGTAGATTGCGTGCGTAGCCGCAGCAACGATAATAGACGGGAAAGAAAAGGGAAGAGGGCAGGAAAGCGATACAAAGAGAATATAAATCAGGCTCGCTGTCGGTTGTGTCGCTTACCAGTGGGTGGAGACGCAGCACCGCGGGAAGCATGTTTACCCGTGAGACGAGGGTGCCGCTTCCGCGCTTATCTCCACCCGAGGCCAAGAAAGCCGCCTAGCAGTGTTAAGTGAATTGGGGAGGTGGTGAAGCAGGGCACCCCGCCCACGCAGCCTTCTTT